CATTTTTTTTTTTTTTTTTTTTTGGTTTTTCTCCGGTACCGGGAACTGAACTCAAGACCTTGCGCTTGCCAGGCAGGTGCTTTGCTGCTGAGCTAAATCCCCAGCCCCAACATTGTTGTTGTACAACAACAAAATAAACTTACCATTCCAAAAGGTACAAACAGGTAAATACAGAGCATTGGGACCAAAGCAAGTCCAAAATCCAGCAGGGCTAACATTACGTCCTGTAGTGTCATATACAGCATCTGTAGCAATCTGTGGCACACTGTGAGCTCCATAGGGCTTGTGTGATTCCACCCCTATTGCACTTCTGGTGTTTCCAGCTCCCATGGCTTTTCTCTTAGGCCGACTTTGCTTCCTTTTTGCAGCTTTCCTTAGACAATCCATGTTCCTGACTTTTCCAAACTTCTGAGGTCTCCACTGAACCTCTGGCTTCTCACTCACAGGTTAGCACACTGCCCTCTCAGGGGCACATTGCCTGGCCTCCCAGGCCTTCTGAAATCTAGGTAGAAGCCTTCTTAACCTTAGAACTCTTGCATTCTGTATGCACCTAAAACCAGTGCCACGGGGATGATGCCAAGGTCTGTTGCCACCTGGAGCAGTAGCCCGGCTTTCCTCTCTCTTGTCCATAGGGATCGAGTGCCTGGATCATTGGGCACTCTGAATCCAATTCTGAAGAGCAAATTCTCTATGCCACCAACATTCTGGAACCTGGTGCAGTTGCCCCTGCCATTCTGGAGCATGGCGCTCTGTGGCTTTCTTTGTTTTTGTTTTTGTTTTTTTGTTTTGTTTTGTTTCTCTGTGGCTTTCTTCTCAAAGCAAAGTCTTTCACCTTTGCAGTTTTGAGGCTGCAAAGGGTGGAGACTTGCAGCTTCTTGTGATGCCCTCAGGCCATCTTTTCTAGTCTCCTGTTCCTTCTTAGCAATGGAGATATCCTCTGCTCTATCTTTGTAGTTCACATCTTTACTGGAGCTTCCTTTCTTGCCAAGCTCACAACAATTTAAATCATCCTGCTGGACTCCTTGCTCTTAATTCTCAACATAAATCTGGCTAAAAGCCCCCAACAATAGCCATACTACCACGTCAATGTTCAACTGCCTTGAAATTTCTTCTGCCAGATTAATTATTCCATCGCCCTTAATCTCAGTCTCAGACAAAGTCTCTGGACATGAACAAAATGCAGTCAAACTTTCTGCTAAGCCATAACATACATCATCTGGAGTCTAGTACCCCATGCAGTCCTTCTTCCCAGCAGAAATCTCCTGAACCTGGTCTTTACCAGCAAGATTTCTAGCAGCCTTCTGGTCTTCTGAGCTCTGACCAGAATTTCCCATGCAGAAGAGCAGAAGGCGTTCCAGCTGTACTCTTTCAGGCGACATCTCCAAACCTTTCCAAACACTTCCCACAAACCATTTCCAAAAGCTCTTGAACCACATGGTCAGGTATAGTCACAGCAAGGACCCCACTTCTCTGGTACCAATTTATGTCTTGGTTACTTTTTTTCTCGTTGCGGAGACAAAATACCTGACACCTCAAATTGAGGAAGGAAAGGTTAATTTAGCTTACAGTGTGTGAAGATTTCAGTCCGTACTTGGCTGGTTCCAAGGCAGAGTGGCACATGGCAGAGGGCAACAGTTCATGGGGCGGGGGCAGGGGAGGGACAGCAAAACAACAAGAGCAAAAAGGGAGGAGTAGAGGCAAGCAGCCTCTTTCCCTTCCTTACATTGTATGCAAACTATCCGCCCCAGGCCGAGTGTAGCACTTACATCCATAATTCCAACATTGGATCAGGAATCAATCATAAACTGTAAAAGCCTTCCCCATGACTGCATGAGGCTTTGGGGGGACACATCCAGACACAAACCATAACAATAACCTAATACTATGAAACTATTACAATAAAACATAGGATAAGTGCTTCAGGACATTGGAATGGGCAAGGAGGTTTTGGACAAGACCCCAAAAGAAAAAAAAAAAAAAAAAAAAAAAAAAAAAAAAATAGATAAATGAGACTACACCAAACTTAAAAGCTTTATCATAGCAAAGGAAATAATGAACAAAGTGAAGAGACAACCTACAGAATGGCAGATAATATTTTCAAACTATACATCTGACAAGGAGTTAACATCCAAATATTTAAGGGGCTCCAAAGGGGTAACTTTTGAGGATTAAAGACAAAATTGTAACTCCTATGTCTGGCTCTTCTCTGTGGAATAAGAAGCAAAGGAAGAAAACGTTTACATGTTTTACATAAACAGAACACATCTCTCTAAGGAATTTTTAAAAAGCCAACTCTATATTTCCCAGCACAGAAAGAAACAGCCATAATCTGTGTCTGGAAAATATCTTACCAAATCCCTAAGTGACAGAGAACTATGGATGATTAGACTGCTATCCCATGGCACCCTAATCTTGTCTTCCTGGAGGCTAATCAGGTGCAGACAACAGCAACATTTGGATGTGAGACCAATAATGAAAGTGTATGGAAAGAATCAAGGCAGATGTGGCTCAGTCACAGGTCCCAATATATCCATCCACTCCTTTGTCATAAGCTGCTGAGGTTCTTAAATTGGCCTGTACTGAGTAAGGGGGATAAACGGGATGTTCAACGAGTTAAAAATAAGGAATATACTATATTAGAGAATGAATATGTGGGAATAGTTTGCTCTTAGGTTAACCTTTAATAGTCAAATATGGGTGAGGGCTATAGCTCAGTGGCACAGGGCCTGCCTGACAAGTGCAGGGTCTTGAGTTCAATTTATGGCACCCACCCAAATGTTGAATACATAGATGTGAAACGTAAAAATATTGGTCATCAATTTTCATAGCCATCACCATTGTCATCTCTTTTTAATTTTATTCTACCGGGTCATGTTTTCTTCCACACAAACTTGTGGACAATAGTACAGATTAAAAATTTAAATATTTGTTTGGTTTGCATTTTGCTTGAAAAAGCTCTTAAGTTAATAAAAATGGGAATGTAATCAATCATTCTGAATAGTGGCCAAAGGAAATGAAATGAAATGAACTATCAGCCTTCATGAAGTCACTGTTTGCCTGTTATTCCTGCTGAATATCTTCCTGCCTCAGACTTAGCTTACCTCATTTAGTTTATGTAATAATACTGTGACTATTTGGAAAATGAGCAGTGATGCCAATGATTATCAGACATTGTTCAGTGTGGACCAGTACATTTGGGAATCCCTCGCCTTTTTCTCCTGGTTTGTTTTACAGCCATAAAAATGCACAATGTCACTTAGATTAGCTTCCTGTAAAGTGAAAATTTGGAGGGCCAGGCATGTAGCTCAGGGGCAAATGCGCCTGCCTGCCAAGTGCAAGGTCCTGAGTTTGATTCCTGGTACCAAAAAAAAGTGAAAATTTGGACAGTTAATCTGAACATCTCAGCAATAGTGCTGCATAATTACTTCTGCATAAATACTGTCAGGTATTTATGTTATGTCAGTATTGTGTATACCTGTCTGCATATCAGTGACTGAAAGAGTGAGGAGAGAAAATAAAGAAGTTTAAAAAGTATAAATAATTTTTTAAAAAGTACAGGAGGCAGTTGTTAAAGGTACATAGACTCAAGTATGTTGGGACGTCCTTTATAGGCAGGTGCTTAAATGAGCAGCTAAGGTCTATTCTATCATCTTGTTGTAGAAAATGACTTAAAACTATTTTTGAGAGGCAGGATTGGTTTGGTCACAGCCATTTTGGGTCAAATTCCTCCCCATTATAATTGTGAGATTTTTTTCCTCTGATTGTCTTGAACATTTGTTACTGTCAGTATTGTTTATCTGACATTTACTAGAACTGGGCTTGTAGAGTTAATTAACTTTTCCTATTCCTAGATCACCTACATTGCAAGCTTGTAGGGCAAGTTCTCCACCTCTTTTTCATTGATATCCATTGGTATACTAGGCACACAGCTGGACTCAAGAATCACACAATGGTTTTGAAATTTCAGGTAAGCAACATAATTCAGAAGCCATGGAATCATAGGATCTTTATTAATGACAACAGACAACTTGGCCATTAATCTGAGTGGGCGACTTCTTCCCAGGGCGCTAAATATTACACTTTACACTGCTTCAGAATCACTTGGAACACTTGGTAAAACAAGGTATTTGGGGCCCTGCCTAGAATTTCTATCTGCAGGTAGGAGGTGGGCCTGATACTTTTCCTGGTACTGTATTTTACAAGCATTCTCTTGTTCCTTATACAGACTTATGAAATGGGTACTATATTTTATTTTCATTTTTAGTTGATACGGAACATGTTTAAGAGATATAATGTAGGGTCGGGTATATAGCTCAGCGGCACAAGTGCCTGTCTGGCAAGTGCAAGGTCCTGAGTTCAATTCCCCAGTACAAAAAAAGAAAAAAGAGATATAATGTGATGTTTCAATAGGAGTATGCATCCAGTAATGATGAAATCATGGTAATTAGCACACCCATTTCAGAAACATTTCTTTGTGGTGGGAACATTAAATCTTTCTTCAAGCAGCGTGTGGTGGTGCATGCTTGTAATCTCAGCACTTGGGAGGCTGAGGCAGGAGCATCGCCGCGAGTTCAATACCAACATATCGAGACCTTATCTCAAAGACATTCCCCAAGTCTCTCTTCAGAATAACCCACAAAAAGCAATAGAATACCAGAATTTATCCTTCCTCTCCAATTGAAACTTCGTTGTAACAGAATTATTTAAATCCTGGTTTCATAAACACGCAAAACCGTTTCGGCGACGATCTGGGTTGATTGGCAGCGCTGGTCACTTCCATTGTCTTGGAGGAGGGGGAAGTGCAAGTATGCGTAAGAAGATTAGTATGCCTTTTACAAGGTATAGAGAGACGGAAAATAAAGTTGAGGAATACAAAAACTTAAAGAGCACCTACTATGATCTTCTGCCCCCATCTGGTGGTTTCTATTCTGACTGAACAAAAGCGTTGATTCCGTGTCTCCCCCTATTGGTGAGAATCGCGCGGTCGGCCGGGTTGGCTCCGCGCGCGGCATTTTCTCTTGAGGCAACTGGAGGCGTTTCTCTGAGGAGGTTGTTCGCTGAGGAAGTTAGTCGGTTAGTACCTTCTCCCTCCGTCCCTCATTCTTGTTTTTGGTACTAGGAATCGAACTCCGGACCTTGCGTCTGCCGGGCAGGCGCCCTCATTTTTGTTTTGTTCGTGTTGTTTCCATTTCGGGTTTGTGGAGATTTTTTTTCCATGTGTAGCTTTTGTTCTAATCCAACTACGGCTTGGTAAACGAACTTTTTTTTTTTTTAACAAAGCGTTACAAGAGCTTTATGTCTTATATATTTATAAATGTACAAAAATATTCTGTGGGGGTTGGGGACGTGGGGCGAAGGTTGGCTGAGGGAAGTGGACTGGTGGTTAATGGGGCTGTTTTTCCTGTGGAACGAACGAAGTTGTCTGGAATAGCTGACAAAATAACCCTTTAAAAAGTACTTAAATATACTGTTAATTGGTGATAAAGTCTTTATCCTTCTCTTTAGATATCTTTGCCAGTTAATGAATGTGTTAAACTTGCCAAAAACAGTAAAAGAGAGATTAAACGTGAGGTGTTTGCTGTTTCGTCATACGCATACGTGTAGGAGTTCGCCTTGTTTTAGGGACATTAAAATAGTGTGGAGATTAGTTTATTCTTGGGCTTCCACAGCTAGTCGCGTCGTGAGGAGGTCAGTGAGGTTTAGACTTCCTGTGCTGCTTGCTCTCAGACCAAGATGGTGGCTCCGAGTAAGGAGTTTAGGCGGCCACTAGGGCGGTGAGGTTTTTGGAGCGCGCGCGCGTCCCCCGCCACAGCCGCCCCGCCCCTCATGCAAAAGCCCACGTGGAATAGCCAAAGGTGGGGGCGTAAACCTGTAATCCGAGCACTCTGGGAGGCTGAGGCAGGAGGATCATAAGTTTGAATCCAGTCAGGGCAATTTAGTGATTTAGAGAGACCTTGTCTCAAAATTTTGTTTTAAATAGTGGAGGAGGTGGGGATGTAGCTCCGCATGAAGGTGATGGGTTCAGTCCTCAGCACCTTCACCACCACCACCACCAAAAAAAAAAAAAAAAAAAAAAAAAAAAAAAAAAAACCCAAACGTTTTTTCCTTTTGGTTTTTTGAGACAGTCTTGCTGTGTATGTAGTTCAGGCTGACCTTGAGCTCGCTGTGTAGCCCAGGAGGAAACCTCTTATTCACCATAAACCTTAAGACAAATTGAGCTTGTCTTATTAGGGTGGTGGAAACCCATCCCAAATCCAAGTTCACAGATGCTAGTGAAGGGCCAGACTTGCAAACAGGGTTTTCAAGTGATAGCATATTTGGGCCCCGTGTATTAACTGTCCTGCACAGATTTTGGTAGGGATTATGTTGATTACTCTGAGGGGAATTGGTATTTTAACAATGTGATTGATAAATGGGGGATGTATTTCTATTTATTTACGTCTTTAATTTTTCTCAGATGTTTTATAGTTTTATGTGTACAAATTTTGTACTCGATTTGTAAAATTTGTTTCTAAGTATTTTATTCTTGTTGATTCCTTTGGTTTTTATGTATGTATGTATTTATTTATTTATTTTTGGTGCTAGGAATTGAACTCAGGACCTTGCACTTGCCAGGCAGGCACTTCCACCACTGAGCTATATCCCTGGCCTGTTGTTGATGCCTTTGTAAATTGAATTGTTAATTTTACTTTCAGATTGATCCTTGTAAGTGTATAGGAATTAAGTTGATTTTTGTTATTGATCTTATATCTTGCAAACTTGAGCTTGTTTATTAGCTGTAATAGTTTTGGGGATGTGTGTGTGTGTTTATGTATGTATGTATTCCTTAGCCTATCTAGATGGTGAACTATATGTGTTGATGTTTTGGAACCAGCTTTGCATCCCTGTAATAAAACTCATTTGCTCATAGTATATAATACTTCTACATATTGCTAAAAACTGTTTGTTAATATCTTGCTAAGGATTTTGCTTCCATCATGAGTGATACTGACCTGTACATTTCTTTTTTTTTTTTTTAACTGTCTTTGAATGGTGTTGGTATCACAGTAAAAGTGTAATGAGTTGGTATATTCCAGCCTTTTTTTTTTTTTTTTTGGGAAAGAGGTGTAGAATTGATGTGCATTGTTCTTTAAGCATTTGGTTTAACATGAGCATGGTGGCTCATGCCTGTAATACTAAAAGTTTGGGACACTGAGACAGGAGGATCACAAGTTCAAGTCCTGTTTAGGCAATGTTGGACACAGTTTCACAATAAAAAATTTAAAAACGGCTGGGGATGCAGCTCTGTGAAGTCCCTGGATTCAGTCCCTAGTACAAAACACAAAAATGTTTACTTTAATTTTCTAGTGACATCATCTGGGCTATTAGAATTATCTATTTCATATTGAGTATGTTATAGTATTTTGTGCTTTCCAAGAAATTGATCTGTTTTATTTGTTGCCAATTTTTTTTTGTATGTGTGATCTCTTATTAGCCTTTTGATTTCAATAGAGCCTGTAGTGATTATTTTGTGTGGTACTAGGGATTGAACCCATGGCCTTTGCACTGAGCTACATCCCCATCCCTTTTTGATTTGTTTTGGTACTGAGGAATTGAACCCAGAGAATTTACACCAAGCTACATACCAGTAGCTCAGAAGGCCGACACAGGAAGGTTGCAAGTTTGAGCCCAACCTGGGCAATTTAAGAGAGACCTTATCTCAAAAAACTGGCTAGTGATGTGGCTCATTGTGAGGATCCTGGATTCAATACCCAATACCATTAAAAAAAATATTAAGAAGAGAATGTTCTAGGCATCAGGAATATCATATGCAAAGTACCTATGGAGGTGGAGTTTGGTATATTGTTCAGGTCTTTGAACAGGATCGTTATGGCTGAAGTGGAGTGAATGAGAAAAGGAATGGTTGATGTGGTAGGAGAGACCTTATAGACCAGGGTGAGGAGTATGGATTTTACTTTAAGTGCTATGGGAAACCACTGAAGCAAAAGAGGGACAAAATCTTGTTTTTCTTTTTCACAAAGGTTGCTCTTATTGTTGTGTTGTATTTGTATTAGAGATGGGCAAAACTGCAATGGGAGTGAACAGTTTGGAGGTTCTTGATAATGAGCCTGATGAGAGACTAGGTGGCAGCAGGGACGGAAAGTAGATGACTATAAGATATATTTTGAGATAAAATCAACAGAATTTACTTAAGGACTGTGTATAGAAGGGTGAGGTGACAGAACGGACTTTGAATCAAAGGTGATACCCAGTTTTCTGGTTTTTTTTTTTTTTTTTTTTTTTTTTTTGGTCTTTTTGAGGCAGGGTCTCGCTAGCAGTTCAGGCTGGCCTTGAGGTCACTTTGTAGTTCAGGGTGGTCTCGAACTCGCCAGGATCCTCCTCCCGAGTGCTGGGATTACAGGCATGCGCCACCATGCCCAGTTTTTTTTTTTGTTGTTGTTATTGGGAATCGAACTCAGGACCTTGTGCTTGCTAGGCAGGCGCTTGTGCCACTGAGCTATATCCCTGGCCCCCAGTTTTCTGTCTTGAATAAGATTTGATGTGGTGTCAGTTTCTGAAATGGAAGATATGGAAGGAATGATCAGGTTTGGGGAGGGAGTTGATTATTAAGACTTCTATTCTGAATATGTTGAGTTTGAGGTGTATCTTAGATGTACAAGTGGAAAGGTGGAGTCGTCATTTGGATTGAGGAAGCTGAAGTTTAGGGACAGGTTTTAGATACTACACTTGGTCTTAGCTAAAAGGCTGAGAAGTGATAGGGCCAGCTTTTAGATGATTCTTAAAGTCTTGAATCTAGATGAGATAACCTAGGGGCTTAAAAAAAAGAGAGCCTAGGATCATATAAATATCTTTATTTTTATTAGTCCATATTAGTTATACAGGCTGATGGGCTTCATTATGGCCCATTCATAGATCATGTACCATCCTTTGATCATTACCCCCTTTTCTTCCTCCCTCCCTCCCTCAGCCCCTTCCTTTTCTCTGATAGTCTCCCCTCACATGAATATCTTTCATGTAGAGGCTGTAAGAGACTAAAAGGAGAATGGACTAAAAATAAAAGTATTAATGTGGTCTGTTGTAGGTTGCCTACTGTATATGTAGGAACTTCTAGATTACACCCCTAGTATCTCCATTTACTCTTTGCCTCTTCAGAGGACAGGATGGGTTTATAAATTCTACAAACATTTAAAAAAAAAAAGAAAAAGAAAATCTGAAATGGAACTTCTCTGGGCTAGGGATATAGCTCAGTGGCATAAGCACCTGCCTGGCAAGCATAAGGTCCTGAGTTCGATTCCTGGTACCAAAAAAAAAAAAAAAAAAAGGAAAATCTGAATTCTACAAACCTTTTGTCAGTTCCACATATCTATGTATCTATACATATGGATAAATAAATATATACACACACACAGAGATATATTGTAGTTCCTGGCACAAAGCAGGTGCTCATTAAGTATTTGTTAAACTGAATTAATGCATAAATGATATGAATGAGAATATCTTGTTTGCCACAATATAGCTTTGTGATATTGGACATTTAGTAAGCTATAATTTTGTCATCTATAAAATGGCAGTAAAAATACCTATCTTTTGGGTAGGATTTAAAGCAATAAAAATTTTATTGCAATTAGCACAGAGCTAGTACTGAATTAATTTTGTCTTTTATTACCTCTCTACACTTGCAGTGCTCATTCACAAAATAGAGGCAATAACTAATGTCTTGCTTCCCTCAAGGTCATTTGTGAAGCCTGCAGGAGTTAATGTTTGACTGTAAAAGGGGTTATTAATATTAATATTTTAATTGGTCTGCAGTCACATTATGCAGCTGCTCTTCTCTCCCCATCCTCTAGTAGGATTATTTAAATGAAAAACGTGTCTTTTAGGAAGACCAGCCAGGTGTACTCGAAATCACGCCCCAACACAAAGTCCATTAGCCACAGAGTTTGGTTTAAAAAATACCTAGCTTCCAAACCGTTGCTAGGGGAACAAAATAACTGTGTACGTTGATTGGTCCTCTGCGGGCCAATCACCAACTGCGCTTCCTGGGGCCGTCATTTTTAAAATCTGGGCCGATTGGATTGCGCACAAACCAGGCTGAGACGGAATCGGGGCGCTACGTCACGGATGTCCGTTCATTTCCCTTGTCTGTCCTGGTCTAGGGTTGCATCTTGGTGTTTCCTGTTTTGTCCTCGGTCTCGGTTGGAGGTAGGCGCCTTTGGGTTGTACTACCAGCTCGAGTGTCTGGCTCTGGTGCCTGGCGGTCTGTCCGCGGGCGTCCCTCCACCCCCTTGTTACAAGCTGTCTTCTCGTATTGGGATGCACAGCAACCCTGCAAGGAAACCTTTGTCTCCTTTCCTGGTCAGTCAGCAGTCTACGGAGTGAACCCTGTACAAGCTTGGGCAGAGAGTGTATGAGGCGATGAGATGGCAAAGCAAACGAGACCACGTCCCAGGTTTTCAGATGGAATGGCCTGCCCACGTGCTTGAATCAGAGTGATTTAAAAAAAGTTTCACAAGTGAAAGTGTTGCAGGATCGATTTCATTTACAAGCGTAGTGGTGGCAGATGTATTTTTAAGTCAGAGAATATCACTTGAAGGGTATTTTGAATCACAGATAGAAGGACATGAAGGAAGGGTGGAAATGTGTCTTCTCCCTTTGTTATCCCTTTTATTTCCACTGGCTTTCTTCTACCCTGCTCTGGCTTTCCCACCACTCTCTGCTGAAGCCCACTTAGAATCCTAGGAGTTCGGAGGTTGAAGGGACCCTAGAGTGGTGCCTCTTAAAGTGCATATAAATTTGCAGATTAGGATTTGATAGGCCTAGCCTGGGGCCTGAGATTTTAGATTGCTAGCAAGCTCCCAGGTGATGCTAATGTTGCATTTCCATTGACCACTTTTCTTTCTTTTTTTAATGTGGCAGAAGCTCTGGTCCCACTGCCTCATTTTATTACGTGGGGAAACTAAGACCCAGATAGCCCAGTTTCACTCAGCTAGCTGGGGAACAGGGCTGGAACTAGACCCTAAGCATCCGTTCCAGCCTGGTGCAGCTTTCAGGTGACACAACGCCACATTCTTTCTCCAGTGCTTTGCTATAGGTAACCTGCCTTTATATATAAAATGAAGTTGCTACTCTTCACTGTAGATTATTTTGATTAGCTTAGGTCTGCTGCCCTGTGTGGGTTACAGCACCAGCCCTAGGATGCCTAGTAGTTTCCAATAATTATCAGAGCGTGCATAGGGGAGATGGAAAGTCTGAAAAGGGAAAGGATTCTAATTTTCTTTGTCCAAGTAAGACTCAGGGTAGAAGTCTGAGTGTCGTTTTATGAATGCCTGTGGTGGTGTCAGTTACCTCCCCTTTTGTACTCCCAGTAGCAGAGAAATTAGTTTACCTAAGTCAGTGTGTGTCCCAGAAAGCAAGTGCTTAGTGTTCAGAATAGTGAATGTGTTGCATAACCATCATTTGAATACTTTTATTTTCCTTGAGATTTAGTTGGTCCGTGATGTCATCAGCTGAGAGTTTTCTAACAAGTTGATTCCAGATTTCTACTTCCTGTTTGAAAGGTAAAGGTTTCAAAGCATGTCTTTGGCCATCCTTAGAAAATTGTATGAGACATGAATAATAATGGTGTAAGTAGTTTTCAGACAGAGTGTAGTTAAGGGTAAATGCACCCCATTTAGCTTTATTGCTGCTTTCCTGAGTTTTGAGGGATGGGATGGAAAATAGATTTTCATCTGAGGGAAGGGAAGGACAGTAAGCATGCCATTGATTGAATTCCTACCGTGTGTTCTTTGTATGTTTATATTTCTATTTGAGTCACGTGACTCCTCTTTATGTGCAGTGTACTTGTTTTGCAAAATGAGAAAAGCAAGACTGAGAAATGCTAAGTTAGCTGCTTTAGAAGTTGGTTGCACAGATTCTAAAACCTATGCCCATTCCACTTCCCCACCCTATAGCCTTTCACTTTTTTGGAATGTTTTTGAGTGTGGTCTGAGAAACTGGTATTTTGGAAAGAGCTGGGTGGTCTGTGTTGTGCAGTAGTTTGTCTTGGGTAGTAAGTCACTTAACTCATCTGGGACCATAAGAGAGCACTATACCTGCCCTGCTTACCTTCATGGTTTTGCTATGATGTTAACTGAAGTAATAAATGTGAAGGCATGTAGTTGTACTGACCTCTCTACACCTACAAAATATTTAATACTTCTCCATCAAAGCAAAACCCAAATCAGCTTTCTTCTTTTTTAAGTTTTCCCCTCAAGCCACAGTCTTTCTAACCATCCTGGCCCCAGCCTAGCATTTCAGCTCCATTCTAGTGGTTCCTCAGCATCTTTTTTATGCTTCATACTTGAAACAACTGAGTTGTCCCTGAATTCTGCATGTTCACACCTCCATCTGGGGTTGAGCTTTGCCTGGAAGCTTCCCGGTCAACTGCCAGTCTTTCTTTGTCATTTAAGTCCAGATCAAATGTTACCTCCTCTAGTATGCCTTCTTTCACCTCTGACTTTCCATTTTATCTATTTATAGTACTGTTTTAGCTTGAGTTACTGTGACAAAGTGCCACAGACTGGATGGCTTAAAGAGTAAACATTTATTTCTCACAGTTCTTAAGCCTGGAAGGTCTAAGACCAAGGTGCTGGCAGATTTGCTGTCTGGTGAGAATCTGCTTTCTGGTTCATAGATGACCATCGTCTTGTATTTTCATATGCCAGAAAGGAGCAAGTGAGTTCTCTGGGGTCTATTATCAAGCACTAATCTCATTTATGAGGGCTCTGTTCTCATCACCTCCCAAAACCCCATTGGTTAATACTATCGTGTTGAGGGTTAGTATGTTACAATGTCAACATTAATTCTGCAAGGAACACAAGCACTCAGTCTATAACAAGTATCTCCCGTATCATTGTTTGTATGTGTGTGGGGAGTAGGAATTGAATCTAGGACTTTTTTTTTTTTGTGGTTTTTCTCCAGTACCGGGAACCGAACTCACGACCTTG